TCAGACAAATGCTTCAGGGACTCCCTGAAGACAACCCCCTCTGTGTGCCACATTGCCAATTGCTCGTGAAAAACACAGGCCATAGACAGTGATGCTGGGAGATGTTACATTGGGAGGATTGCAGACACCTTTGGCACAGAATGAAGAACTAGCATAATAGAGAAAAAGGGTGAGAAGGAAAAATCCAATCGCACGCCCTAGCAATAGCTACACCTTCACCTGCATTCGCTGTGAGAGATTCTGTGGTTAATGAATAGATATAAGTAGTGGGCCTGCAACCAGTAGGTGCAACTTTCTTAAAATCTTCATTTTCAGAGCAATAAAAAGAGACAGAGCTTCTGGCACCAGACCCTATAGATAAAAATCAGTGTTGCTCAAAAGGCCTGGATTGGAGGAATGAAGATATCTCACAAAGCTGTAGGGCTAATGGTGATTACAGAAGTAAGGAGCATTATAAAGAAGTTTGAAACCAAGATTTAGTATTCATTGCCGATAGAGCAGTTTGGGCCCTGCATAACTATTTGCAAAAAAATTGACTCTAACCTTCTCGCTCCCCTACTTGCCTGCAGTCCCAGCAGTGACCACCTCTCCTGGTGGCACTGCTGAGACTGGCAAGGGGGCTGAGCCAATTAACAACCTGTCAGAAGTACTAGATGACTCAGACTGCCCATTCCTGCCTTACCTCCATTTTATAAGGCCGAGGTGGGGAGCACAGGAAGACCATCTGTGTGTAAAGTTCAACCCCAATGTATTTATTAAAAGGTAAATGAAGATACGGGTGAAAATGACATGAAGAACAAGCATGGAGTTAACAGCAAAACGCCAAAGTTGTCTTTCTGATATCAGCAATATATCCCAAATCCCACTGTAATCTACATTTATACTTGACACTTACAGTCTTTTAGTAGGTCACAATTCGATTTGCAATGGTAAATTTTACATCACTTGGAGTCAAGAATATTTATTCCCTGAGCAGGAACAAAGCATTTCTTTTTATAATTTTTTTCTTGCCTCATTTTAAGGCATGAATTATAAAAGAGAATCACCAAGCAAGGTTGCACATGAATACTTAACCTGCTTATCAACATGAAACGATACTGTTGCTGTGCAGAATATTTGCTAAGTGCTCCAAAATGTTACATTCAACACTCCATTTCTCGGAGGAATTTTGTTAATCTGTACACGACAGAATAAATAAATAAAACCTTTTGGTAGCTGAATACTATGTAGAGATAATGGGAACGGAATGTCAAGTAACATGTACTTTTTTAAAAACGCAATCTTTTGCATTTAATATATATTGTTTAAACATGAGATGAATGGACAGGCGCATATTCAGAACTGAAGTATCGACTCTACCGCAGACCTAGAAAAACAAATGTTGCATTTCATGCATTAAAACCAGAAGCAAAAGACAGACTCCATAACAACATCACTTTTCATAGATCAATGCCTCCCTTGTCTGTTACTAAATCCTTCAAACTCTTCTCAATTACTGCAAACTGTCGCGGCAAGATTAATGCCAGTGCAAAACGAACTCAGATTCACACTGATAAGCTTGTCTGAGCCAATTACAAAGTGAAGCAGCATGAGCATGGGTATCACTGTCAGCTCTTGACTCTGGATCCAGGGTGCACTTACATGATAATCAGTGTCAGAGTGACTTGTAACTACTTCACACCAATACTGCACTTGCAAGCCATTGATACTTCAACAGCACCTTCCAAACCCACGATCGCTATCATCTGAAAAGGTCATTTTGCTGATGTCTGAGAACTGTACGTTACCCTCCACAACACACACCACCCCACTTTGGAACTACTCTGCCATTCCTTCATTGTAGCTTGGTCAATATCCTGGAACTTATATGCGAACAACACTGCAGATTTATCTTTACTAGATAGACCGTAGCAGCTTAAGAAACCAGCTCACCACTATCTTCTCTTGGGCTATCAGGGATAGACAACAAATATTGGCCTAGCCAGCACTGCAATCTGTAAAAGGATTAAGAAAAAACACATCCTCTACGAGACATTGTTCACGTTGACCCTTGTAAAGCCTTTGAAAACGTGTGACGTGGTAGACTAATTAGTAAAGTTAGATCACACGGGATTCAATTGGATACAAAATTGCCTCAACGGCAGGAGATAGAGTGTGATGGTGGAGGATTGTTTTTCGGGGTGGAGGCCTGTGATCAGCGATGTTCCACAGGGATCAGTGCTGGATCCACTTTTGTTTTGTCTTGTTTAAGTGATTTAGATGTGAATATAAAAAGCACGGTCAATAAGTTTGCAGATTGGTGGGAGAGTGAACAGTGAAGAAGGTTGGGTCAATGAGCCAAAGAGGGGTCAATGAGCCAAAGAGTGGCCAATGGAGTTTAATTTGGATAAATGTGAGGTATTGCGTTTTGGTAAAACAAACAAAGACTAGACTTATACAATTAAAAGTAGCATCTTGGGCAGTGCTATAGAACAGAGAGAGCCAGGTGTTCAAGTACATAATTCTTCAAAGCTTGCATCACATACAGATAGGGTGACTGAGAAGGAGTTTAACACGCTTGCCTTTATTGCTGAGACCTTTGAGCACAGGAGTAGGGACATTATGTTCAGGTTGTACAGGATTTTGGAGTACTGTGTCTAGTTCTGGTCTCCCTGTCATAGGAAGGATATTATTTAGTTGGACAGCATTCAGAAGAAATTAATCAGGATGTTCTGAGGAAGGGTCACCGGACCTGAAACATTAACTCTGTTTTCTCCTTCACAGATGCTGCCAGACCTGCTGAGCTTTTCCAGCAACTTTGCTTTTTTAATCAGGATGTTGCTGGGAATGAAGGGTTTGAGTTAGAAGGTAAGGCTGGATAGGCTGGGACCTTTTTCACTAGTGTGTAGGAGGTCGAGAGGCAACCTTACAGAGGTTTATACGACAAGGAAGGGCATAGATGTGGTCAGTGGCAGGTGTCTATTACCTAGGGTGGGGGATTAGGGGGCATATTTCTAAGGTGAGAGGAGAAAGATTTAAAAAGACATGAGCAGTAGTTTTTTTACACAAGAATAGTTTGTGTGGTATGAACTTTCTGAGAAAGTGGTGGATGTGGGTACAGCTATAATGTTTAAAAGACATTTAGTAAAGTATGTGAATAAGAAATGTTTGGATTCAGGCAGGTGGGACTAGTTTAGTTTGAGGTTATGGTTGCCATGCACTGGTTGGGCTGAAGGGTCTAATTCCATGCTGTATGACTCTATGACTATATTTCCCTCTTCCAGTTATCACTAAGAACATTGCTGATCGAATGGTTAGGAAGGTTGGGCACAGACAGATAGAAAAGCCTCAGAAGTGATTATTTGTCCTACACACCCTTTCTTTCCGACCCATTGACCCTGGAAGTAGAGTGAATGGCCCCACGTGCTTCAGTAGAGCAACCTGCCCCTCGAGTTTGATCCCAACATTGACCTGGTAAAGCGCACAGACTGGATGAGGCCATCAGCGGGATGTTACTCCTGATCATCAGGATACTTATACCACTTTAGATCCCTCACTGGCTCTTCTGGTGTAACAGCTGCAGTGTTGATGTGTGACTGGATAGGCTAACTCCCCTGCTGTAGTTAGATTTCCTCTCAAAACCAGTGATGCACAACTGATGAACCGCACCACACCAATCTGCAAACCAGGGATGTGGGTCAGAGTTGGGGCAGATATGGAAAGCTGGGTGGCAGTCCTGCTTTAGCAGAGCTCTAACCCAAAGGAGAGAATTTAACTCTTATCCCAGTGCACCATAAATTACCTCCTAATCACATGTCAAATAAACACAGACCAAAGGAAATAATGGACACTCTCAAATGAATTCAAGACACAGCAGCAACTTTAAATCTCACTTAACATCCACAGACTAGTAATGGTGTCAAAGCTTACTTATAACTTAAAACTCTTCTGATTCTTGTGCTGTGTATCACTTTGGGAAATATCTACAATGCCCCTTGGGCTTCTTTATGCTCCACACTCCATTGTTGTTTTATGATTTAGACTCAGAGCTTGACTCACTGATGTGTCATTGTTCCAAAGGTAGCTGTACTGACAGACTGACAGAATAGCGCCTCATGTAATCTAATTGGTACAATAGACTAGATTATATTGATTAAAACTTGAAGATCCCATCATTATTTGTTCTGTTTATCTGACAAAAAGAAACTTCTACAAGTAAGCCACACAACCTAGAACTGGGGGCTTTTGCTTGTACTCTCATCTGCTTAATTAATAAAGTATCAGTCTTCAAATATACACTCATCCTGCAATTTGCTGGAAAAAATAATGAGAATTTGCTTCATATTGCAAAGCAGTAGACTAAAACTGGTGCAGGCAACGGACAGTGAGAACTAAGCTATGTTGATTTCTGAAGGAATTCTAACCTAACCTTTATGTTTATTCAAGTATTTCGGCTGGCAAACTGCTAAAAGGTATGAACAAGGATCAACATCCAGCGTGACACAAAAACAACTAGTTTGTACTCTCACCAAGAGTATCATGGAGCCATGAATAGAAGCTTGATTCAAGGATAAGTACTGTACTCTACACAAGAATGGTATCAGAAAGCAATGCTGCATGAAAACAATCACCCTGAGAAATAACTTCACAATGTTTCAAGCATTGCTGTAGATCTTTTGATTGCTGTTTGTAGCAGTCAGAGAAATACATTCACATTTGGATTACATTAAACTTCCAAATCTAAGCTGTGTTCTGATCAGATCTGGGGAAGAAAATTTGATTGAGGTGGTAACTATATTAAAAAGCACGAGTGATACCGCTTCACTTAAACAGGGTCCTGGACTCAGCCTGCAACACAGGGCCCTCTTGTCATGATCAAATGAATCCCAGTTATATTGACTGTAGGATGTGAACTTGCAAACAGTGGGGCATTTAGTTCAAGGACCACAGAGAATGTTTACAAAAAAAAGTGAAGAATTTTTATATTGTTATATAGCACCAATGAGAGAAAATCTGAATACCTGAGAATCCCAACGTGCGCCCTCCATGAACAGTCCATGTATGTAGCTACCTTCACGAGGTGGACCACTACAGTCCTCACGACTTTTCTTTGTAACGTCGCAGTGAAGACACATTTTGTCCAAAGGCCATTCATTCCTCCGAGCCATGGATTGCATGATGGCTGTGAGGAAAGACTGGGGGTTGAAAAAGCCAGCCAGCCACACCGCAGAAGGGAGGGCAAAGTCAGATGTCCAAGTTTCCAATTCCTTAATGCGGTTCAGGAGGTCAACAAACCAATTGGCTAGTCCAGCCATTGATGGGTAGGCTCGTTTACTCCAGGAATCTGGTATTTGATCAAAGAAGATGGCATTTTGAAGGCTCTCCATGTCACTTGTCATGGTCAGTTCTCCCTAACGAAAAAGCAGAAGGAGGGAAAGTTTCAGTGGAAGAGGCTGAACATCAAGCTTCTTCTTTGCTTTTATCGTATTTGGCATAAAATGTGGCCAGAAAAGTCATAATGAGAAATTGGTTTTGTAATTAATTAAGAACATTAACTGTGAACAGTTGTTTCAATTATCTGAGCCAAATAAACTGTCCATGTCTCAATCTCAAATGCAAAGAGTTTGGAGGAAGCCAAGAAACACCCTTCCTGTCCACGTAGCAAAGGAAGAAATAAAATGTTCAGAATGTCTGCAAGGTCCTGGCAATCAGAGGAATAGAATTCATTTCTGAAAAGGTGCAGCTCCGCAGGGTTTGTAAAGGATCATGCCAGTTAGCTTGCTCCACTGAGCTTCATCAATGGACATAGGGGCCAGTATTAATCCATTCAAAATCCATTCACTTACACAAAGTTAAAGCACGAGCAGAATCATACTCCAACATGACTTACAAACCTCATGGCCCAGCAGATTCCCCCAATCTACCACCAGGAGATCCAACTGAGTTCAACGAAAAGTGTAGAGGGGCATGCGAGAAGCAGTACAAGGCATTTCTAAAAATGTGGTATCAACCTGGTGAAACTACAACACAGGACGATTTACAAGGCAACCAGCATAAGCAGCAGTGATAGACAGAGCTAAGCGAGCCCACAACCAATGGATCAGATCTAAGCTCCATAGTCCTGCCAAATCCAGTCATGAACGGTGGTGGGCAATTAAATAACTCGCTGCAGGAGGAGGAGAAGGCTACACAAATATCCCGTCCTCAATCATGTGGAAGCATCTGTATGAAAGATAGGGCTGAGGCATTTGCAACAATCTTCAGCCACAAGACCCCTCCTACCCCAGTTATAATCTCTTCCATCAGGCAGAAAGATACAGATGTTTGAAAATGCGTACCAACAGATTTAAGAACAGCTTTTCCCGCTGTTATCAGACTTATGAACGGACCTCTCATATATTAGAGTTGATCTTTTTCTGCACCTGTAACATTATATTCTGCATTCGGTTCTATTACCCTGATATACTTATGTAAGGTATAATTTGTCTGGTTAGCACACAGAACAATATTTTTCACTGTATCTTGGTACATGTGACAATAATGAATCACATCAAATCAAAATCAGTGGATAATTTGATGTCACCAACATTACTCCTGTCCCTGTCCAAATGTCTTTTAAATGTTATCATTGTACCAGCCTTGACCACTTCCTCTGGCAGCTTATTCAGTCCATATATCAGCCTGTGTGTGAAAAAGTTACTGCTTAGGTCCCCTTTAAATCTCTCCCTTCTCACCTTAATTGTACGCCCTTTAGTTTTGAACTCCCCCGCCCTGGGGAAAAGACCTTGGCTATTCACCTTCTCCATACTCCTCATGATTTTGTAAATCTCTATAAGGTCACCCCTCAGCACGAAACCATTAAAAGAAAAAATAATGGATTTTTTTTCTGTAATGCCAGGATAAGACCCTCAAGAGATTAAGAATTTTTATAAATCAAATTTCCCTTCCCTTGCCTAAGAATGTAAATGGTTTAATTTAGCCTTTGGAATGTTCACAAAGTACCTTTAACCCCAAGTCCAGCTCCTTAAGTGAACGCTTAATCTCCGAGGTAAGAGTGTTCATTCGCTCACACTCCTGAAAAGCCACCACAACATAGGGTGTCCGCTCCTCTGCCTTGCTCATCAACTCTGCAATGTTAAACTCCTCCGGCAACTTTTCTATCACCTCGTCCAAAGTGGCCTTTACCTGGAATGCCAGAAAACAGAGGCACAGCTGTGAGAATCTCCACATTATCACAATGTTTTGAAGAAAGGGTCAGGACGTTAGCTCTCTGGTGACTGCTGAGAACATAAATTAGCAATGGATGGAATATACTATGGAGAAAAAGATCCAAATTTTGACGGTCCACAGGCAGAATTTAAGGGTGGTGGTCAGGGGGTCATTTGATCAGGTGGGAACGTTGTAGATGGGCAACCTGCCATCTTCCTACCTCTATTGTGCATATTGGGAAAACCTGTGCATACTTGTTATAGAGAGACACTTGGCAGGACTGAACTCTGACCTTAAACTTATTGCAATTGGAAGGTAATCCATGTTTGCACCTTGAACACAGGGCACTTACCTTAACTAAAGACTCTCCATGTTCTGAAACTTATTCTCGTCATCCTCTTGCCTCATCCTATTGATTTAAGTTGAGCTTTCCATTGAGAAAGGCTGGAAAGACCTTAGGACATCTCAAGATGCTCTGGAGCCAATTAGGCAACTCAGAAGTAAAAATGGTGTCACAACCAATTTGTAGCTCAGTGGTTAGCTCTGTTGCCTCACAGTGCCAGGAATCTTGATATGAACCCAACTTTGGGTGACTGCCTGTGTGGAGTTTGCATGTTCTCCCCATTTCTGAGAGGGTTTCCTCCGGGTGCTCCGGTTTCCTCCAACAATCCAAAAATGTGCAGGTTAGGTGGGGTGGCTATGCTAAATTGCCCTTTGTGTCCACAGATGTGCAGGCTAGGTACATCAGCCGTGGGAAATGCAGAATTACAGGGATAGAGTCGGGAGCTGGTCTGGGCAGGATGCTCTTCGGGAGGCAGTCAGTGTGGCCTCAATGGGCTGAATGGCCTGCTTCCACACTGTAGGGATTCTAGGAATATGTATCCACAAAGCGCCAATAAACTGCAATGTAAATATGACTGAATGCTCTGTTTTATCAATGCTGAGTAGCTATAGCACAGCTCCTTACACTTGACAAATGTACATGGTTCAACAGTCTCTGGTTACTTTGTTTCAGTCTTTAGTTATCTTACATATTGTGCTGGTGGTTCACTCAGAGAGTCTGTGTTGCCACAGTAATGTGTGTGTTTACATGTATGTTGGGTTTGCATCCTTGAAGCTACAGATAGTGATATTCGAGGCTCCAATTTTCCTTAAATCATGTCGTTGAATGGGGATCTCACCTGCTGTTATTGCCTGCCATTGGGATACATTGGAAGGATTAACAAGTTTACACTAGTTGACCATTTTACAAATACATGTTCCTTGGTCATCAAGTCCTGGAGTGGGTCACAGGCAGGGGCGTTATTAGACCTTCATCCTAAATTCTGCTAAATGCAAAAAAAGTATATAAATGTCCACATCATAGCGAGTAGTTTTTTATTTAAATTTATTCACTCACATAAGGCAAGTGTTGCTGGCTAGGCTAGCATTTATTGCTCATCCCTAATTGCCCTTGAGGACGTGGTGGTGAGCTATTTTCTTGAACCACTGTAGGAGTGCTCTGATGTATGTGCGGCCCTGGTCCCTCTATGTGTTAGAGGTCACAGGTTATAAGGTGCTGTTGAACGAAGCTTGATGAATTTCTGCAGTACATCTTGGAGACTGCTGCCACTGTGTATCGGCAATAGATGGAGCGAGGTGGTAGATGGGGTGCTAGTCAAGTTCAGTTGTCAGAGTGCTCACTGCAGACAATCAGATTTGATACAACTTGCCGCATAGCTTCTTGGTGTCACTACGGAACCTATTCATATTTCTTTCCATTGCGTCTTATTCTCAGCTGTCTTTCTTCATTAGTTGCACCTTTGTGCTCTTGCTCACTGCTGAGGTAGGGTGGAGGAAGCTGCGCATTGCATTCATCCCACATCGAGCCTGGCTACAACATAGAAATATGCTATACTTTAAAATAAACAACCTTAACATGTTAAGCTCCAAACTCACCAAAATAAAAATCTAAATTTTCTTGAATATCTTTCCCATTGCATTTGGAATTAACTGCCTTTAGAAAGATTTTGACATTTAATAAGAATTGTAGGTGCTGCTGTTAAATATGTTCTGTCATCGTAAATGGTTTCTGGTTACCTTCTGTACACTGAGCAATTGTGGAACTGACACTAATTTGCTCCTTGTTTTCACAATACCATGCTGTGTGTTAACATTGTCCAATTTTGGTTGACATTAGAATAGATTTGATCGTTTCAGCAGAATTGCAGGAACAGCTACAGTTCAGCTGCTATCTGGGTTTTTGTCAGAAATATTGAAAGGAAAAAGGGAAAATAATTTACTTCTGTATTACATTGCCTGCATGTCCTTCACCCTGTTGCCTTTGTGTTCTCAATAGATAACAGCTTCCATAAGCAGACTGAATGCGCTTTGGATTTAAATTTACATCGTTGTCATCACTGTTTTTGGATTAGTGTGGCCAAGTTTGATAATGAGCTCTTAATGGTACTGATTACTCAACTAAGCTCAGTGAAAGAATCAGGCCTGACAAAGTGTGTACACTAAAACAAAAATCTACATTTCATTTCCTTTTAAGCAAAGAGACTATTCAATTTGATCTGGTTCCTGCTAATTATTTCCTGAAACGTTCATGCTGCCTGAACACATTCATACATATTTATCCCAATCTTATCTCCCTGGTGGGGAGGGGCATGAGGTTGGAGGATGCAATTTTTGCAATGAAGAAACATGGAGGAACAGATCTCCCTTAGTTTCTGCTTGAATTAACAGCAACAGCTGATGACCAACTTTTTGGTCTCCATTTCCTGGCCACAGGAAGTTAGCAGACTTTTATCATCAATACCTCAGGTGCAGGGCAGAGAGCTACCCCCTTCCACCACTCTGGCTTCTGATCTGACTTCTAGCCTCCAATTTCACCCATTCTTGTCTTCAATCTCCCCAGCCCACCCACTTTCCCTCTCCCTGCACAGCTTCTGATCTGCTAGAGGGCAAAGGATCAGAGATCTACGCAAGGGGAGATAGCGGATGATACTAGTTTGGAATTGGGGAAGATGAGTGAAGGCCATAGAGGGTGTTTTTTTTGGTCTACTGGTAAGTGACTACATGTCAGAACAGGTGGTGATTGTAATCCAGTGGCAGGGATGGTGGGTGGCCAGATAGGGTGGAAATGGGAGGCAAAACTGAAGAGATGTAGCAGGCAACTCTGTAGGATTTTTAGGGGCCAAAGTGGGTGGGCGGGGGTGCAGGAGACCAGAACCCAGGGTGTTTGTGATTGAAGGCCCAATGTGAGGTGATGGGCGGGTGGGTGTAGATCAGAGTTTGAGCAGCATGAAGCCTGATGTCAGGAAATCAGAATTGTCAAACAGTCCATCTAATAATAGATGGATTGTCAAGCTAGTTAATCTGGATCCATCTAGACGTGAAAAGGCACTTCATCTCCTTGATCGACTGTCCTTGCCTCTCTTTAATGGATGGGTTCTCAAGGGCCAGGAAAACCTGAGCAGCCAGGGGAAATTTAAAATGGCAGTTACATAAGATTCTCAATCTCATTCTAATATTTGATGAGACAACCCACCTTTTGGGAGACCAGTGTTTCCCACCTACCAATCCTGCCTTTCCTACCTCTGTTAGATCCGGAAGGGGTCAGTTTGGAGGTATGCTGGGATTAGGAAGCAGATTCTCAACATTTTTACTTCCGACTCAATTCAGACCCATCTATTTTTGGGGGGGTAGGTAATGAGGAAGTTCGAGTCCAGCAATATTTGAATTCTATCACTGGATTTATGGGTCCTTTATTGGACTTTTTAAAATTTTGTGGTTTTTGTTTAAACCAAACTGATGCCAAAGGATATCAGCACAATCATTATCTCCTGCAGCTGAACTGTCAAAAACTAACAGTTTTTTATCAGGTCAACCAAGCATTTAGTGGGGATACAACAGGGTGCATAATGTGTGTTTTGAATATGTAACTGAATGAAAACCTCCTTCATCTGCCTGATATGAAAGGTGCATGTTCTCAGGTGTAAGATGTGAATATGGCCATACTTGTTGGACAGCAGTGATTCCCTTGCTGCTATATGCTTCAGAGTTTTGGACAACCTACAACTGCACTGCAAAGAAGTGGAAAAGTACCACATTACTGCTTTTGCCGAATCTTTCAAATCAAGCAGTAAGAAACGGTCCAATAGCAGCCTTTTCTCCCAAGTCACCTTGTCCAGCATCCAATCACTAATTACTCAAAAATCAGCTTTGCTGGACTGGACACAATATTTGTTTGCCTCACACCAGGCTCCCCAAGCTAGCTGTTCTACCTCAGAACTCAGATGGTACAAGACACTTCCATGTAGGTCATTGGAAATGCTTCAGGACTGCTCTCAAAGCACCTCTGAGGGCATTACACATCCCCACCAGCTCATCAGGAGATACTGGCTTTTGACTAATTCAGAATGAAGGTAGTTCATTCAGGACAGCACCAAGCATTTTGAGAAACCACATTGGAAAAGAGCAGATGTGAGGTTGGAAGCATAGAAACATGGAAAATGGGAGCAGGGGCTTTCAGGGGCCCTTTTGTGGCAGTGGTAGTGTCCCAAACCTGGGCAGGGAGGCCTGGATTCAAGTCCCACCTGCTCCAGACGTGTGCAATAACAATTCTGAACAGGGCGATTAGGAAAACAGGTTAATTTTTTAAAAAAGGGAACAGGAGTAGGCCATTCATCCCTTTGAGCCTGCTACACCATTCAAAATGGTCATGGCTGATCATCCAATTCAGTGCCCTGTTCCTGCTTTCTTCCCATAATTTTTGATCCCTTTAGCCCTAAGAACTAGGTCTATCTTTTTATTGAAAACATTCAATGTTTTGGCTTCAACTTCTTTCTGTGGCAGAGAATTCCACAGGCTAACCAGTCTCTGGGTGAATTAATTTCTTCCCATCTCAGTCCTAAATACTTCCCATATCCTTATACTGTGACCCTTGGTTTTGGGTTCCCGAGTGATCGGAAGCATCCTTCCTACCTTTA